GGATCTTTTCAGTAAATATTGTAGGGCAGTTGAACATGCCAAAGCCAAACAAAACTAACTCAGAAAAGAAATGGTCGTGTATTTAAAATGAAACAGAAGGCTAATATAAAAGCTTTAAAAGAAAGAGGAGAAAATCTTTTGAGAGATTCCCCTCCTTTTTTGTTAAAGACACGGCCCAAAAGCAAAATAAGAATAAGAATTTGGAGATATATATATATATTCCTGAAGATGGAAAAACAGTCTAGGAGGAAAGGTGTACAAGCATACACTCATGATGGATTAGGGCTTCTATAGTATTGAACTCTCAAGCTGGCAAGCAAACAAAAGCAAAAATAACTACCAAATTTTCAAGTGGATGAAATGCAACAACCTGGAAAAATATGGAAAAGAAAGGAGGATTTGCTGTCTCTTTCACAGCATTATCCACCAGTATAACCACAGTGAGATACCACCACATGGCCAGCAGCATGGCTAAAATAAAGTGATAGCCCAAAACGCTGTCCAAGTATGGATAAAGCGCAAATGTCTTCAAGGGATGGCTAGTTTAAGGAACTATGATATGTTTACACTGTGGACTACTATTCAGCAATAAAACGTAAGAAATCATTGATATATACAAATTGAATGAATTCATGGGGAAATATGCTGAGTAAAATGGTCAGCTCCAATGCTTGCATACTGCATGGTCCTCCTGATATTTGTGAAATGGCATAATTTTAGAGTAGAAGACAGTTTAATAGTTGACAGGTGTTTGGGTATGTGGATCAGAAGGGGATGAACAATTGGTTATAAAAGTATAAGATGGGGCTCGTTATGCTGATAGAACTATTCTTTATCTTAACGTGGTGGCAGACACTTGATTCCTCTCATGTGATCAAATTGTATTGAGACAGCACACACAAATACAAATGTATTCAATTAAATCTGAATGAATGGATAGATTATATAAATATCAGTCTCTTTGACATTACATAGCCTATATATTTGATTGTCTTGTTTTTGAGACAGGATCTCACTCTGTAGACTGACTGGCTTGGAAATAATTATGTAGACTTGGAACTCAGAGATTTACTTGCTTCTTCCTCCAAAGTGCTGGCATTAAGGTATGTGCCACTATACCCAGCCTATAGGCTATGGTTTTACAAAACTTTACCTGTTCATGAAACTGGATAAAATGAGAATGGATTAGAAAAGAAGTGGCACAACAATACACTTCCACTAATGTAACACAGATGCCAAGAGAATAACATCGAGAAAATACAGTGTACTAGGTAGGTATCAATACCCAATACAAAGTCACAATAGATTACATTAGTATAGACATTCAGTTGTGCATAGTAGAGAGTCTATAAACAGATCCATATGTCTCTGAGAAATCAGAATATCATGAAGCTGGTATTTCACAGCATCGAGGAAGGGAATGGTAAAGTGATAGAAATTTTACTATTATGCTGGAAAAATCATATTGCGTATAAAATAAATTTAGGCTGGATTTAAAATCAACATGTAGTTCATAGGCATCACAACTAGGAAGGATTATTGGTGGCAAGATATCCTAGAGGTGCATTAATGGCATTCACATTTTGGCAGTATCCAATAATTCTCTAATTGGATCTAAGTTCTGCTCAGTAGGTGGGAAATCATGTCTGGTACTGGAAACCTACTGAACTACTTGAGACTAAACTAGCATAATTCCTAAGTGCATTCCAAATGCTTCCTTATGCCCACAGATAGGATAAGCTTTCAACTCTTGTCAAAGAAACTTCTCTTTGCAACAAAAGGAGACCATTATAGAAAGCCACAGCTGGTCAGAATGCAGAGAACAACTCATCGTAAAGAGCCTAGCCACAATGGATACAATACAAATCCTGCACTCAAGGCTCAGGGAAAGCCATGGAAGAAGGGGAAGAAAGATTGTAAGAGCCAGAGATCCAGGAAAGCTGCCATGAGACTGTGTTCCCTAGAAATGACAGGCAAGTTTCACCCATGATACCCCAACATTATGGCTGCCTAAACAATATCTGAACAAGGACAACAAAAATAGACACCCTAGTGTGGAAGGAGGAAATTTCACAGGGCCTACCCCTAGTCAAAGAACCACAGGCAACTAAGGAAGGCCCAGAGCAGAAGTAAAGTTCCCAGTAATGAGCCCCATAATTGGTTATTCAATAACTAAGTGGTCAGCCCTGAAATCATAAACACACAAGTAACATTAACTGGGCTCAGCAGCTTGTATTTACATATTTATGTATTTATACAATGTAGTGGTTTGAATAGGAATGGCCCCCATAGGCTCATAGATTTGAATGTTTAGTCATTAGGGAGTGGTACTACTTGAAAGAGATTAGGAGGTGTGGCCTTGTTGGAGGAAATGCATCAGTGGGGGAGCAATTTGAGGTTTGAGAAGGCCATGCCAAGCCCAGAGTCTCTCTCCTGCTGCCTGGGGATCCTGATGTAGAATTCTCAGCTACCATGTCTGCCTGCATGCTGCCATGCTCCCTGCCATGAAGATAATAGACTAAACCTCTGAAACTGTAAGCAAGCCTCAATTAAATGCTTTCTTTTATAAGAGTTGCCATGGTCCTGGTGTCTCTTCACAGCAGTAGAACCACTGGCTAAGACATACATATATGTAACAATAACAATGAAAGTTAAAAAAAAACATTTGAGAGAGAGTGGGGGGGGGAGGGGAGAATATGGAAGGGGTTGGATGGAGGAAAGGGATGGGAGATGATATATTTTAATATTAAAACAAACCTCCAAAATCAATACCTAAGGAACAAAGCTATAGAACCAGTATTATATAGGAGTTTTAAAATAATTTTTAGGGGCTAGAGAGATGACTCAGAGGTTAAGAGCACTGGCTGCTCTTCCAGAGGTCCTGAGTTCAATTCCTGACAACCACATGGTGGCTCACAACCATATATAATGAAATCTAGTGTCCTCTTCCAGCATGCAGGCATACATGCAGTCAGAACACTATATGCATAATAAATAAATCGTTGAAAATTTTTTTTAGATATACAAGAGGTTTAAAAGAAAAAAATGATAAACGAGTTTCAACAAACTGAAAATAACTAATGTTCAAAGTAATTTCTGTGCATTAAAGTAAAGGTAAACTTAAGGCTTGCAAAACTACACTGGCTGGTTAACTTGCTAGTTTGCATAAGTGGTAAGCAGTGAACTTGCTGTGTAAACAAATGAATACTGCTTCAAAGACACATGAGCATATCTGGCTTGTCTTGGTAGATCTGACAATACCCAGCTTGTGGCACATAAGTCTCTTCATAACTGTAATTTTGCTACTGTTATGAATCGTACTGTAAATATCTAATAAGAGATCTGCATATGCCCTGGTGCTGTGGGTAGCCACTGAAAAATGCCCAGAGGCTCACTGGAAAATCCAGTAGGAGACCCACAATAAAGATGTCTAGTTTCTAAGATTTCCCACAAAGAAAGGCTCTAACCCAGTGGTTTTCAACCTCTGGGTCACAGCCCCTTTGAGGGTTCCCTATTAGATATTTACATTATGATTCATAACAGTAGCAAAATTACAGTTATGAAGTAGCAACAAAAATAATTTTATGGTTGGGGTCACCCCAACATGAGGAACTGTATTAAAGGGTCACAGCATTCTGGAAATTGAGAACCACTGATCTAACCACTGACTGCCTGACCGTGGACCATCAGGGGACTGTCCAGAAGAGACTTGTGTCTTACATATGAACATACACACACAAAAGGACTCTGCAAAGGGTTCAGCTCCACATTCTACTCTTCTCCCTGTGCCTAGAACATGGGTGCTGGGGTTCTTATCTTCTACCAAGTGTGAGTCAAGGACTCCTGTGTTTACCACTGTGTAAATGATGCGTAAGTCAAGCTAGCTGACCCGAGAGTCTCTTGTCTCCATCTCCCCACGGCAGGAGCACTGAGATGGTAGGGGCTGACTTTACATGGGTTCTGGGGAATCCAGACTCAGGTCCTCACATTTTTCAGGCTTTACCCGCGGAGCCACCTCCCTAACTCCTGGCCATTTTACTCCAGGCTTTCCTAGTCAACCCAATACATGAGACAGAAGGGTATTCTCAGCTGAAAGCATGCGTTCTCTGAAATCTGCTGCAGCTGACCAAGGACTGTGCTCTTCTCACAGGTCATGAAGTGTGAGGGTTTATTCTATCATTTCAATGGATTCTCTAAAGGGCCTCAAAACATTTCTAAAGTTACACAGGGGATGGGTGTTACTGAATTCACTGCACTGGTGAATCCTTACAGGACTGATAGTCCTCTGGCATGTGCTAGGCATGTAGACCTCTTCCAATCTCTTGTTCATAACGTCACTAATACAGTAGCAGGATGATGTCCTGCAGAATCAAGATCCCTCCAGGCACAACAGCAGGAGTATTTCTGTGACCTGGGGAGGGACTGTGACTGTGTCTTTTGTCTATTGCTGCCTGTGCACTTGCACACTGCTTTTCATCTTCCCGCCTTAAAAGTCACCTGTGGGACAACTTTATGTGACTTGTCCCTCCGCTGAGCAGAGTTCTTTTACTTTCTATCATCCAGTAGTGCTCAGAAGTCATCTGGAGGCCAAAAGTTCCAACTGTCTTCTGTTAAAGTACTACAAATAAATACCCATTCTAAGAAAAACCCACACATGCCTTGCAAAGACAGCTGCAAGGTAAATTCTTAGTCCTCTCTGATCATGAAGCTTCTCAAGCCTGAGAGCCTGCTGAGGTAGGCAGCTCCTGACAGGGGTCTTAAGACTGCCTCGGACAATGATTAGCAAGGAATTAAAGTCTTCAGTTCAACAGCCTTGGCGGAACTGAATTCTGCTGACACTATGGAGTAGGCCCGTGAGCTAAGCCTGGCAATGCCTGTAGCCTCTGGGAGTCTGGGCCATAGGATTCAGCTGCCCTCCGGTCAGATTTCAGTGCTGTTGATGAACACCAGCAAGGGTTAAGGTGGTTTGCTATGCAGCAGTAGATAACATCTGTGCTTACTTTTTAGATTTTTTTTTGAACCAGTGGCTTCTTTCAGGTAATAGTTATAAAAGATGTGGCCTGTCCAATCCATGGTCACCCTCTCTTCATCAGCCAGAGCTGTCTGAAAAGAACACAGAGAAAGGTCTCAGAGATTAAAAATAATGACTTAAGTATAGACAGTGTTAGAATGACAGAGGCTGAACAGAATTTAAATGCAAAATTATTAAAAAGTCCAAAGTCAAACAATGGTGTGTATAGGCACCCCAGAAAATGAATTTTCACAAATTTAAAATATATGTTATATGATCTATAAGTCTTTGGTAATTGATCACTAGTTGTCTTGGTAAACAAAAACCTTTGTCCTGTTTTCAAACTGCCTTCTAAATATTTATGTTTATACCACAGCATAGGGCAGATCTCACCCTTGGGCAGAGATGTCCTCCCTCTACAATGGAGAAAGGTTAATGAAGAACTTACTTAGACCTGCTCAATGCTTGTTGCGTGCTCAGCAGTAAATGGGATGTCTACATCATAGCTCCAGAGTCCACAGAACATCATGGAAGATGGAGGAAAGAATGTAAGAGCTGCAGGACGGGGGAGAGATGCTGTGAAACAAAACTGGCTCCAGATAGGACACGTCCCTTTCAGCGATGAACACACATAATTATACATAACTACACAAAACTACACAATTATGCATAACTACACAAAATCTGCACAAGATTTAACATTCAACATTCCTTCATGGATGGGGTGGCACTCATAAGGCACCATTCATTCCTGAGGAACTATTAGAATTTAATGATTATTGAGGGAGGTGTAGATGAATTTCTAAACAGTCTTATTAATAAGAAACACAGAGCCAAATACAGAGTTAAAGCCAAAAAGATCAGAGTGAGAGCCACCTAGCTTTAGCTTACCACCAGCAGTGGCTTCCCACATGAGAATGACCTTCTAATGTCTGATTTGTCTTTTTATTGCCTTTCTGTTCTGCCTTCTCATTGGCTCTAAGCCCAGCCACATGACTTCCTCGTCACTACCTGTCTATACAGACCTCCAGGTCTCTATAGTTGGTACTGGGTTTAAAGGTTCATGTCACCATGCTTGGCTGTGTCCTTGACCACACAGAGACTCTGCCTGCCATGTGATTGGATTAAGGGCTTGTGCTACCATCGCCTGACTGCTGTCCCTGGCTTGCTATGACCTCTGATCTCCAGACAAACTTTATTTATTAACATACAAATAAAATCGCATTTCAGCACAATTAAAATATCACCACAGGGAAAAGGTGACATTTTCATCAGTAGGAAATAGCCCCTGGTTCATACTTATACAAGCAATTCTAACTAAATTCAGTGGATCCCAAAATAAATCACAAAAGTAGGAGGGGGACTAACCTGGAAGAAGAAGGGGTTCCAAAGGAGGGAAGGGAAAAGATAAGGCAAAGGGAGTGAATATAGTGGCATACATTTTATATATGCATTTTGTCACATTTTCCTAGTTTTTTCTTTAAAAGAAGTCAGACCATTCAAAACCCTACACACAAACATCCATAGTAACTGTATGCAATAGCCAAAAATTTATTAGAAATTTCCCAAGAAAAAGAACCAAAAGGATGCATGCATATATACAGAAGAAATTTTTTTTTTTAAGGAATTACAGAAGCTAGCAAGTTCCAAGTATGCTGGATGACCCAGTAGGCTGGAGATCTGGGAAGGGCCAGGGTTGCATGTCAAGCCCACAGATCACCTGCTGGCATGTTCCTCCCTCTCTTGGTTGAAAGAGGTCACTTTCTCTCCCATTCATCTAACTGGATGAGGCCCACCCACATTCTGTAAAGCTGTGTGCTTTATTTGAAATGCCTTGACTTAAATGGTAATCTCAGTCGAATCATGCTTTCTAAAATACCCCAAATGTTTGACTTTGTCTCTGGACACTTTGGCCAGTCAAGCTGACACACAAAATTCATCATTGTAAGTCCACCAAGTCTGTCTAACATGCACCCACACAAACTCATTCATAGCCAAATAAGGAGGAAATGCTCGTGATAATTCCAGCCCTTGTTTCTGTAACTGGTCACATGGCCCTAGCTGTTCTTCATAACCCCCTTCCTCTACAACTCATGCCAGGTCTGCTTTTATCTCAGGGAGTACCATAGTGTCACAGGTTTTTTGTTTTGTTTTGTTTTGTTTTACCTGTTGGGAAGACAAGAACCTTCAATCATTGAAGGATCTGATCCATTAGCTGCTCTTATTGAGCTGGGCTGTAGTTTTTCTTTTAAATTAATCACAGGACATAGTGATACTAAAAGATGCCCTTAGAAATATGTTGTTCAGATATATTTCCTTTACATCCTACATTAGTGATCTTTTTATTTCAATAATAAAATATTTCACAAAAGCAACTTAAGGGTTTGTATTGGCTCAGTTTGAGTATACGGTCTATTGGAGGGGAAGATATGGTGGTAGATAGCTCTATGGTCAAAGGAATATGCAGCCTGGACTCCTTCACTCACATTCCGGTAGAACGGGAAGAACGCAGGAGACAGGAAGTGGTTCTTGGCTATAAAGTCTCATATCCCCTGTCCAGGTGATCCACTTTTCCAGAAGTTTCCCCTCTTAAAGGCTCTGCAACCTTCTGAAAGAGCAGCTGCAGCTACAAATCCTTGGTCCAAGCTTTCATCACCTAAGCCTATGGGGCAGCATTTCACATTCAAACTACCATTGTGGAATAGTAGTCCAATTTCCTCATGTTATTTAGCCTCAACCACCCTAGCCAACACCATAACATGCTTCTTTGCCTGTTGATTTGGAGTCATGTGGAGTGGCTAGGTAACAGATTCAACGGTTCATTGGTTCACTGAATCATTGCTGTGTTTCCTGGTGGAAGAGCTTGTCCCTTGGAAGCTAAGATAAATAAGCCAGCATTGTGTAAGGTTAAGGGAACAGGAAATATCTCCTCAGTGGCTCACTGTGGGTAATAATGAGCAATGTCCCAGCTGCATAGGTTGTGCTAACTACCTGGTACTACAACTAAGTTTTCAAAGCCAATTCTATTAAACCATGAGTCCACTCCCATACTTCATTTGTTATGAAGTAAATTCCTTAACCATAACAAGAGTTCTGTGGAATGCTAGGAATGTGAATAAGGCATTCTTCAGGTGTGAAGATAGCAGTATTGGCAGAAGCATTATGTCCAGAGAAAGCAGATCCACAGCCAAAATTTCTAGTCAACTTAGAACAAAATACTGTCCCTTCCATGATGTACATGTATGTATACCAGGTGGCTGGCTGATCACCTGGAGAATGGTGTCATATCAGGGATTCAATGTCTGTTGTTGGTGGACAAGGCAGAATCCATGCAGGCTCTACTCCAAGTGAGACCACTTGTTGAAGAGTAGTTCATCTTATTTGTAGAGGCCCACAAAGGTTTCTTAGTGAGATCTGAGCTTGCTTTACCCAGCAGAGCTGCATTAGAGGATTACTTGACCACATGTGTAGTTACCAAGTGATTGGAAAAAGTCTGCACTTGGTTGTGCTAGGGGGAGGTCTTTTGCTCCACCCCTTGACATTCCCATAAAAAGTCCTTTAGAAGAGACAGCAGGGGCCAGTGGATAATGATCCAGGCTATCTTGTGTTTCTGTTTCTCTCCCCTCCATCCTTCTATCTAAATATTTTTCACTCCTCCCTCATTGAGTACCCTGGGGAAAAAGTGGGAGCGGGCCTCCCATAGAGAAATGGGTAGGCTTCCCCACACTTACTCTCTTATTATAAATCTTTTCTGAAACTATCATTTGATGAGCAGAACGTAAAACACAAATCTCTTCATGGTCCTTGCCCATTCAGCGCTTATCTATATACCTCTTCTGCAAACTTTCTTTCCACCATTTTCCAATTATATTTTTCCATATTTCTTGATTATTAAGATTGGGTGTGTAATTGCACTTGTATTTTAAAAAAATAAATGAATAGACCATTGCATATATAATCTAAATACAAATTTCAACTTCATACAACTACTTCAAAAGGTGTGTGAAAACTTGTGAATCCATTTTCTGTAGTGTGTATGTGGGTAAAAGTGTGTATATGGGTGTGTATGGGGACCAGAGGCCAGCCTCAGAACCTGGGGCGTTGCTCTTGAGGGGTTGTCCACATTGTGTTTTGAGTCAGTGTCTCTGTGTGACCTGGGCACATCAGTGAGGATATGCAGGCTGGTCAGGGAGCCCCAGGATCTACCTGTCTCAACCTCCCCAGCGCAGGGATCCCAAGTGTACACAGCAATGTTCAGAATGGTTTTTAAACATGGGTATCAAACTGGGGTCCTCATGTTTCTGTGGTGTTTTACCAACTGTCCTAGTTCCTTTTCTGTGGCTGTGACTAAAACACCCTGACAAAAAGCAATTTAAGGGACAAAAGGTTTATTTTAGATCACAATCCCAGATTGTCCATCATATCAGAGAAGTCAATGAAGCAGGAACTTAAACAGCTGGTCATATCATATCCAGTCAAGAGAAGGCAGGGAATGAATACATGCATGCTTTTTCTGCCCAGCTTGATTGCTCCATTCTTAGTTAAGAACATCCTTCCCAAGGAATGGTGCCACCTATAGTGGGATGGATCTTCCCACATCAGGTCACCTAAGGCTTGTCCACCCTAATGTAGACAGTCCTTCACTGGGACTGCCTACCCAGGAGATTCTAGGGGGTCAAGTAGGCTATTAAAGCTAGCTACCACAACCCAGCTATCTTCCCACCCCCATTTATAGTCATATTTATAATTTGTTCTAGGATCAGTCTCTGGGTTTTGACAATATTCTATATAAGATTGTATCATGTAGAGAGACTAGTAAAAGCTACTCCCGAACTGTGTAAACTACTTTTGTGGTCTTTTTCTTTTCTCTTGTTTTTTTCTTCCTTTTTTTTTTTTTAAGACAGAATCTCTCTGTCTAGCCCTGTCTAGCCTAGAGCTTGCTATGTAGACCTGATTGGCCTTGAACTCAGAATGAGCTCCTGCCTCTGACTCCAAAGTTCCATGATTAAAATCATGTGCCACTATGCCCAGCCCTTGTAACTTCTTGTGAATGTTAAACCACTTCAAAACAATGTTTTGTAAAATGAAAAATGCC